CCCGTGGAGGAGCCACGGCATTCCCAGGCGGGAAGATGGCCCAGGACAAGGGCATCTCCATCCCCACCTGCACAGCCTGGAGGTTGCTCCTAGGAGCTGGAAGAGCCCCCAGAGCCCCCGGGAGCCCTGCGGGAAGGCCCGGAGCAGCGCGGCGCCGAGCCGGTGCGACCTGTTGGAACACGCTCCCGCTCCGGCGTGCGCCCAAAGAAAAGACCCAGGCAGGCAAAAAAAGTCAGTTCCTGATGAGGTAGCCTCATAATTACCTGTTATTCTCATATCGAGGTAATTAGCAATTAGGCAGCTGTCTGAATCACATGCAGAGCAACAATTATTTCGTTATTAATGGACTCTCCCAAACAGGTCCTATTTTCCCAGATGCTTTTTCTTTGCTCCCCCTACCCCTCCGCACTCTCGTGACCGATCCCAGCAATTAAACCTGCGCCGGGAGAGGGAGGAGCAGCCCCAGGAGCTGCTGAACTTCGCCAGGCRCCGCAACCTGCAGCCTCTGGTCCCAAGTCATCGGGGGGGCCGCAGTGGTGACAGGGAGCCCGAAACCCATCCGAGCAGCGCCGATATTTGGAGGTGGTTGCGCATTGCCCTGGGCAAACCCGCTCGCAGCCGCACGGGTTTGAAACCTCCCGCGCTGCAAAACCTCCCGCGCTGCCCCGGCGCCCGCCCGGCCACGTGCTCCGCTTTCCCGGGTGGAAAAGCCTCTGGATGCTCCGTTGCTCCCGCGCTGCGGCCGGGACCACCCCAGCGCTCTCAGGCCTTTTGTCCCAGCCTGACTTTTCCCCTCCCGGTGGGATTAGGTCGGGATGAGCCGGCGAGGAGGCCCCTAATCCTATTAGCRGAGCCTGAGCCGGCGGGACCGCGGAGGAGCCGGGACACACGGCACCGCGYGGGGACTCGGCATCTCCGGGACGGGAGAGCCGCAGCTCCGCTCATCCCCACGGGATGTCCAGGCACCACGGAGGGACAAGGCGCTTCTTGCTTTTTTTTCTTTTTTTTCTTTTAAAAAATTATTTTTATTTTTCTTGCAATTTAGGTATTTTTTGTGGATTTATTTCCTTTTTTCTTTCCAGTTTCTTTCCAGTCTTCATGCAGTGAGGTGCAGCCCAGAGCCACCCGCTGTGCGCAGCCCCCGTGCACCGCAGCGCGGGGGGCAGCACGGGGCCCCCCAGCCCTTTTGGCCCATTTGGCCCATTTGGCCCATTTGGCCCATTTGCCAGCGGGTCCCTGGGGAAGCAGGAGGGCAGCGACCTCCCCCACTGCAGGGCAACCTGTTTTGGTTCCCGGGCGGTTGCAGGGAGCCGTGTTTGCCTTCCTGTCCCTTCCTGTTTATCCACTGCCATTGGAGCCACTTTGATGTCCTTCCACCGCTGGATGCTGCCGGGATWGGAGGCACTGGCCCTGGCAGCTCCAGTTCGGAACATCAGCACTTCCGAGATGCTGGGAAGGACCATAAGGAAGGAGGGATCAGGGAGAAGGGAGAGCACAGCCCTTGGGGACCCAGCAGTGGCAGTGCCAGCCCCAGCATCACTCAGTGCTCCAGGACTCGAGCACAGGGCTCATGTCCCGGCTTGTTGATGTCCCGATGCAAATAGCATCAATGCAAAAAGAGGGAATGGGGGAAAAGCAAAGAGCAGGATGTTTTGGGAGCAAATCGGGTGGATGCCTGATGGTCTCTGCACCACAGGGAACATTTCAGGGAATGAAAGGCACAGGGAGCGCGGTGCATCCTTGAGCACCCATTCACAGCCCTGTGTGTAGAGCTGGGGGAAAAATAAATAAATAAACTCAGGATTTGGACCATCCTTCCCAATGCAGCCTGGTTTCTCCAGAATCCCCGGGGATTGCAGCGCAWTCCCATTCCAGGGCAGCTTTTGGGTCCTTCCACAGGCAGCCTCCGTGGGCGGCTGCAGCTCCATCCGCTCCGGCTCTCCAGGATGCCGCTACCCACCGGGATCCGGTTAATGACCCAACTTGCTTGATTTTCCCCTCTTTTCCTTGGCACGTGTGTGATGAGCGTGTGCGTGCACGGCCTGGGGAGAGGGCAAAGCACCGGCGCGGGCGCCTGGAGCGCGGGAAGCGGGAGCCATCCCTATGGATCCTGCCAGCGTGCGGGAGCACAGGATCAGCCGCAACGATAAAAAGAGATGAAAGTGGCCCAAAAAAAGAAGCACGCCGGTTACTCAGCCAATTGGAAGCCGCCCTGCTTGTGTTCAACAGGCATTTGCCATGAAAAAAAAAAAAGCAAGAAAAAAAAAAAAAAGGCCTGTTTTTATTTAAATAGCCTAGGGCAAATTTCTCACTAAACCAACTTTCCCACGCCAGCCCAGTGCTCTAACTCTGGTTTTTGGCAAWTTTTTTCCTGAGCTGTCAAGGCAAAATATATATAAGAATGCTGGTCTCACTTAGGTTTTTTTTTCCAGCCCCTGGAGACATGAAAATAATTTACAGATGTGCGTTACCTGTTTATATTTGTATTAAGTTTTGCTTAACGGACATAATTTTCTTAGCTTGCAGTAACAAAAAAATATTCCCAGAGTTTCGCTCGTTTAATTTCAACTTATTAAAACTTTTCAAACATGTGGGGAGGTTTTATGTTTTTAACTCCCTAATCACATGGAYGGGTGCCAAGGTCTCTCCGAGAGGCGCTTTATGAACACTATTTTTAAAAATTACCTAAAATCCCATTATTTTTAACCCCCGAAGACCACTCGAAATGGAAACTTTCCCTGGATTTATGTCATATTTACCGCTTATTGAAAAAAGATTTATGCTGCCCATGGCTTTTGCTTCCCCCACTGTTTTTTTTCCCACTTTAGGCTCATTGCGGCCTGATCCAGGGGGATGCTGGAGGGAGGAAGACAGCGGTGACGGGCAGCTCCAGCTCGTGGAAAGGGCTGTAATGGATTAAAGGGAGGTGTTTCCGTGGCTGTGCCGGAGGTGTCATCCCCGTGCCGGGACACCCGTGCCCTCCGGCACCTGGGGAAACCCAAGGGGGTTGATGTCCCCTGGGATGCCCTGGCCATGCCTGGAGCATCCCACAGATCCCGGAGCATTCCGTGGATCCCGGAGCATCCCGTGGATCCCGGAGGCCGTGCGGGAGCGACGGGGCCGAGCGGAGCCGAGCGGAGCACGTGGCGCATTGGGTGCTCAGGGAACAAGCCCGGGCAAAGCTCCCATGGAACCTTCCTTGCACATGGAGCGGGGATGCTCGCTGCAGCCGTGCAGGAGGGGAGAGGGGTGGAGAGCAGGGGGCTCTCGCTCTGGAGTAGCCGGAGCGATGGAAATTCCAGGTTTGCTCCCGTGGAGGTTGCACGGCTTGGGGCAGCGGCGCTGCAAAGCAGGGAGCAGGCAGGACTGGGGCTGTTCGGGYACCCTGGGTGTTAAACCGAAGCACCCAGGTGGTTTTGCAGCTGTTTCCCACCCCTGCGAACTCTGCAGAGGTTCCTGAGGCYGCTCCGTGGGTTGCAAGGGGGGTTGCAGGACCAGCGTGGTGCCGGCCTTGGCATCGCCCGGCCTCGGAGCGAGGGCACCCGGAGCRCAGCCCCGGCGCGGGGAGCACCAAGGGGCGCGCGGCAGGGCGAGCGGGGGGCCCGGAGCAGCGCCCCGGGCTCGCTCCTTTGATCTGCGGAGCAGACTCTGCCCCTCGGTTTGTTTAATTATTTCACACTTGCTCTGGAAATAATTTACAACAGGAAGCAGCGGGATAACAGCAGGCCTGGCATGGGACGGGGCGGGATGAGCCCCGGGGGAGCCCAGTGCCCTGTGATGAGAGACGCAGATGACGGGTGTCACCTCCCCCCATTAACCCTTCACTTTCCCGGCCTCTTCCCTCCCTTTTTCCCAGGCTTTGCACCACAGCCGGCCCAGCTGGTGCCGAGCCCCCTCCCCACATCCTGCAGCAGAGCTGGGAGCCGTAAAAGAGCCGTTTGATGGCCCAGRACCATCCCTGGATGGAGCCGGCAGCGCCCGGCCCTGGCTCTGTCCAGGTGCTCGCAGGAGCTGTGGGTGCCCCAAATCCTTCCTGCTCCCTGCTGTCATCCCAGCGAGTTTCCCCTTGCCCAGAGCGGAGCAGGACGCTGGCATCAGTGACTGCTGCTCCAGCGAGGACCCTCCTCATGCAACGTCTGCATTCAGGAGCTGAACAGGGTTTAATTTGCCCAGGGCCACGGTGGGAACAGGGGGGTGCATGCCGATGGCAGAGCAGGGGACAYGGGCCCTGTAAGTGGGACCATGCACGTGGTGCCAGGGCCTGCAGCATCCCCACGGCACAGGGACCCCTCAAAGGGGCTCGGGGCTGCAGTGGCCACGTGCCCATGAAGCCGGAGTCCCTGGGGGTGCCGAGTGGGCCGGGTCGGGCTGCACCACAGCACTAATTTGTGTGTTTGTTTGCGCTGCGGCGAGTTCGGCATTTCACAGTGCAAAACAACCAGCCTCCTGCCCGAGCCGGGCACAGCGCTGCTCTGCTGCCCCCCAAAACTGCGGCCCTGGTGCCAGCGCCCCCGGGCAGCCCCATCCCGATGCCCCCAGCCCCACACAGGCTCTGTGCCCCGCGGGGCTGTGCAGGGTGAGAGGCAMAACTAGGTGGGCAGCAGGGCTGGCACCGAGACTGTGAGGGGGCTGCAAAGGGGGCTGCACTGGGATATATGGGGGGATTTTTTTGGGGGGGGGAGGGTCCAGGGGCTACCCCGGGGCTGCCTGGGGGCTGCCCGCTCCGCTCGCAGGTGCCCGGGGGGCCCGGGCGGGACGCGCTGCTCCGCGGGGGGGTCCGGGCCGTCCCGGGCCGCGTGTCCCGCCCCGCGCCGTCGCCGCCCTCCTCGCTCGCTCCCTCCCTCCTCCTCCTCCCTCCTCCCTCCTCCTCCTCCCTCGCCGGGCCGGCCCGGCCGCCGGGGCAGAGCAGCCGCGGGAGGCGCCGGGCGCTCCGAATCGCTGCGCGCTCCGCGCTCCGTCCGCGGGCTTCGACGGGGCGGCGCCACGAGCTGGGCCCGGCGCGGCCGGCCGCTACCGCGCGGATCTATGCGGCTGTGAGCGGGCAGGAGCCCCCCGAGAGCACCGGGATGCAGCGGCTCCTGGCGCCCGGCCTCGTGCTGGCGCTGCTGCCCGCCCTGACGCGAGGTGAGGGCCGCGCCGGGACCCGCCGCCCCGTCGGAGCGGGGCCGTCCCGGCGGCGCGGGGCTGCGCGGGGCCGCGCCGGGAGGAAGTTTGCAGCGAGCGCGGCAGGAGCAGCAGCAGCAGCAGGAGGAGGAGGAGGAGGAGGAGGAGCGGCTGCCGGAGCGCCCGCCGGGACGGGGCAGCGCGGGGCGCTCCGGGGCTCGGGGAGAAGCGGGCGCGGCGGCCCGGGACCCCCCCGGGGGGAGCGGAGCGGAGCGGAGCGGGGCTGGGCGGCCGCGCTCGCCGCTCTTGTTCCGCGGGAGGTTTTGACCGTTTTGCATGTTTTCTTTTTAATTATTTGCTCGGTTTCCTGTTTCTTGAAAGTCACCCCGGTCCCTC